TCGACAGCAGCTTGGGTCCGCAGAAGCCGCAGCAGAATTTGCAGTTGCCAAGTGTTGCCAAGAGAAGTACTATTTCGAGCTCTTTTTGCTTATTTTTGGCGGGTCTGAGGGGTTTAAATGTGGTCCCTCTAACTCACAACTTCTGGCTGACTCCAGAAGTTCTGACTGATTTTGCATTATACGTAGCCGTCTGCACATGGTCCGCAAGATGTGGACTGGCCTTTAGAGGCTCTTAACCTGCGGAGGCACTTGAGCGTGGTAAGTGCAAAACAGATTTATCATCACGATCTGTCGAAGAAACAAACTTTATACATTACACACGTTTTTAAATTTTACGGATATCGTTTTCAGGAACTTGATGCTATTCGCAGAAGTGTCAAAATTGCTCGAAGTGACGCGTCCTTGCTCCCTGCTCAGCGGCTGCCAGCGGTTACCCTCTCAGTGGACGTGCTGATGACGAACAGTTCGGTGGGTGTGCTCTGCTGGCTGCCGAGCACCGCCAGCGGGGCGCTGGCGCGTACGCGTGTGCAGAGAAATGGTCCAGGTTGTTGTTCCCAGCCGTTCCTGGCGATCGTTAGACAAGGAATAACGTGCATTGCTTACAAGCCACCGTCTGCATATCAGTACAACAGTCACGAAAATTCGGTTTCAGAAAATAATCACTGCGAAAGAAAAGGTGGCCTCCGATGTTTTAATGGTAGAACGTGACACGTTTTCACGGTTCCGCAGCTCTTGCACAGTCTCTGCAGTGAGACGATATATATATATATATATATATATATATATCCTGACTGCATATTCAGCAAGACGCAGAAAATAGCACGCAGCACGTATATATTGGTGTTGTTTTAGGCTCACAAATGTGCTTCGCGAATACGATAACATCAGTCGCATCAAGTGAGAACGCTCACGTTGGATCTGTGCGAATGTTCATGACAGGCTACCGGTGGCACAAAAACATAGAGCAAGTTAGCAAAGCAACGTTTAGGTCAAATGTAAAAATCGAATAACGTATGTGATTAAATTTGGTTGATAACCTGAAATATGCTTTAAGTTTTAATAGATGTCTTTTTGAAAATGTTTAAAACTAATACACATTTTGGGGTGACACCAAAAGGGACAAGGAGGTTTTGCTCAGCAGTTGTCAAACAATGCCTGACGATTTATGTTACCTACCGTTAGGCATCTGCTCCATAACGCCTAATCTGCGGACAGTCCGAGGACGTGAAAATGGAAATTCTTGTTGGCTGCGGTAGGGCGAGTCAAAATCTGCAAAGTCGGGTGAGTGTGATGGAAACGTCCTGATTCAAGACTAGATCCTCCATGGGACGTTTTAGCTAGCCTATCCACACATGAAGCACTGCGTTCGTTGCGTTGTCGTAACGGTGATTGATCGAACATTGTTGCCAAAAATGGAGGGAAATGAAACTAAACAGTAACACCAGGGAGGCATTTGAGGCTAAATTCCAAGTCATCATCTAATCAGGGACCGATGATTGATCGTAACTACCCGCAAGCTTCGGTGGTTTTGCCACCCTCCGCAGCTTGTGTGCTTGAGTGGGGGTGTGGATCGGGGGTTGGGGGTGTGGGGTGGGGGGGGGTGAGGCGGGGATGACCTATGACCTCCGCCGATCGCCACACTGTGATAGAGTACAAGTCTAGAGTTATTACCCTATGATCCTGTGAGTCTGCAACGTGCTATATAAGTCTGCATAATCCTATCCTTGATGATCTCGACACCGATGCTGACTGATGGTTTGGGTCCATGGACGATGTGAACGCTCGGTCTACCATCACCTCCTGTTCACAGGTTACGCACCAGGAAGAAAATGTGCCCGACGAAGGTGATGCCATGCTCGACGCCGTTCACCACCTTCTCCCGCACCCACTTGTCGATCAGGTAGTTGGCGCATACGATCACCATGGGAGCGGACAGAAACCTGCGCAGAGGCACGGATCCACAGACGTGGTTCCCAGCTGTGCCGCGGCCTGCTGGGTTACAAACATGCAAACGCCATTCATAACAAGATACTGTGTGTTAACACACGTTCAGGTTGGAGAGCGATTTGACCTCTCCTCAAGGCTTTCCAAAATTCAGAGCAAGCGGACTAACAAGACCAAACTTGGCATTGCTATACATTATTTAGATATTGTAGACAAATGTAGCGGATCTTATAGTTAACATATATTTTCTGGTCATAAGCCCTTGGTATGTCAAAGATAGATAAAGGTGGCCGGTAAAAACGATTCTTTGAGCGGCTTTCATACTAATAAAACGCAATTTTAGGCAAAGCTCTGCAATTGTAGATAACGTTTTTAGATGATGAGACAGCCAAATTATCTTTCGAGCAAATTCCGTTGACCTTGGGCTAGCTATCCAGGGAGGATCAAGGTCAATACCAAGCATAATTTTGGCTTGAAACTTTGTTTCTCTATGAAGGTTTGACGCTTGTTCAAAAGCATTTATGACCAAGAATTTAACATGTGTCTATATCAACTTACTAAAGGTCAAAGAAAGTTTCTATACAAGATGGCATTGATTAAATTAACTAAGGGGGCGTAATGACCGAATTGTTGGCGCCATGCGCTCCCGTATGGGAAGTTCAAGGCTCGAATGCCGGTTACGTCATGGCCCCTGAAAGCTAATGTGACCATTGCAGTCGCTGGCGCTCCATGAAAGGGGTGTGAAAGACGACGTGCGTCTCGCTCTCTAAAACAGGCAACTTGACGATTTTCACAGCTTGTTATCAAGGGAATGCTCTTTATGATGATTTTAAATTCGAGTACCAATTGAATTTTAATGATCAATTTAAATCTCGCCGTCCAAAATTTTCTAAAGCATAAATGAGGTTCTTGGCCTGAAATGAAGATGCATTTTTTCATGGCCTGAAAATAATATCTAGCATGCAGTGGTTTGCATGGAAAGGCTTAAATCGCTTCTCAAACTGTTCTAGATCATAATGGTAGAGCCATATGACGCAAAACATGCACACGAAATAATCAAAAACATTATATCATGACAATGAATTATACGTGGTACCCTAAGCACAGCGCTAGTTGCGATAAAAACAGCTGACCACTCCAAAGTTTTTGGTGGCATTTATCGCAGGTTCAGGTACAGGTAGCAAAGGTATCGCACAGCTGGAATTCAAGAACATATGGCTTCACTGGAGGTTGTTTGACCCGATGCTCACAACATAGAAATGTCAAACTCCTCACAAAGGAATTCTGAGAGCCCCCTACCTGTCCTGAAAGTCTCGTCTCTAGCCCCGCCGCTTTTTTGGATCTAGGGAGTGTCAACTTGTCTCCCACCCAACCCGAGCGCGTAGCATTCACCCGCGCACCTGCGGAAATTCACCTGTGGCACATGTCAGATGCCTGAGCCTGCTCTGGCGCATATAAGAACTCACCAGACTGTATACATGGTGGAAAAGGGCAGGAAAAAGCCCCACTTCTCTGGGTAGTGTTTTATGGTGAAGGAAGTAGAGTACACGAACATGGCCCAGCCCAGGATCTTGAGCACGACCAGACCGTAGCCTCCCGGCGATTCGTACAGGTACAGGACCTCGCCCGGGTCGAAAAACTGCAATAGATCAGGCTGTGAGTGCACTGGTGTTCCAAAAAGCATGCACAATGCACATTCGACATGATAATCCCGCATCATTCTTGCTCCATGCACAACTTCCCGCGACAGGCGGACATACTCGCCATCCTCATCACAGCGCTGCGTGAGATCGACTGATTCAATCTGGAGGTGATCCGGAATGTCGCGCGTGCATCGCCGCACAACCCTTTCATCGGACACCATCGGCTACGGGGGACACGCTGGCGTCCAGCGTCCTCAGCTTCAGGTGAAGGGGGGGGGGCAAGCTTCAGGTTAGGGCTCTCCCAGACAACGTCCGAGAAATACGGCCCCGTGTGAACTCCTCTTTTGGAAACATATACCCCGACGTCCGGTTCAGCGGCGCGACCCAGGTCACCATCTTGAGGCTGATTAATCACCCAGAAAAATCGTCAAACATAGGACCAGTCGCGCCGCTCGAGCTGATGCCACCGCTCTGAGAGCACTGCAAGGGGAGGGCGCCGAGCTACGGACAGTGGTAACACGGAGCCCGTCGAGCCCCGGGCAGTGGTAACACGGAGCCCGTCGAACCCCGGGCAGTGATAACACGGAGTCCGTCGAGCCCCGGCCAGTGGTAACAGGGAGCCCGTCGAGCCCTGGGCAGTGGCAACACGGAGCCCGTCGAGCCCTGGGCACTGGTAGCACACATACTGCCTTCGGTCGGGCGCCGGCAGGGTGCAGCTGTCACTCGCGGCCCGTGGCGGACGCCAGCACATGTGCAGTGGGGAAAGAAGCCGCAAACATTTTTTAAAGGATAAGACAAGCCTTTAAATTGCGCTTGCTCGTCAGATCGTGGGAATCGGAATGATCGGTACCAATCGTGCATTCCGTAGGCCAGCGATTATGCCGTGCATATGAAATTCCTCTCTCAGATAATCTCATATCCCCCCCCCCCTCCCCCGTCATGATGGACTCTTTGTATCAACCTGGCAATTCTTGACTCTTCTCTTTCAGCATACCATAGTAAGACACTCATATGTTGAACTAGCGTGACTGTTATTGATTCTGTTCGTCCGGCCACCAGAGTAAGGCACGCATTTGCTGTACTAACGCGGCTTTTTTGACCCTACTGTTTCGGCTCAGTAGAGAAAGACACACATTTGTTGTTCCAACGCGACTTTTCTTGACCCTTCTGCTCCGGCATATCAGAGTAAGACACGCATCTGTTGTACTAAAGTGGCTATTATTGATCCTGGCGGTCCGGCCACCAGAGTAAGGCACGCATTTGCTGTACTAACGCGGCTTTTCTTGACCCCACTGCTCCAGCCCACCAGAATAAGACACGCAGTGGTGCGCTGATGGCCGCATCACACGCCACGCCACGTCGGGCGGGCATGATGGCTGCGGCGGCGTAATTTCCAGATCGCGTGTGAAGTGAAGGGGGGCGGGGGACCGCGCGAGCGATACACGCCGACGATCCTGGGACACCTGTCGATGGTTGAGGACGATGCCCCTACCGGGGCTCTAACAGCACCGGTCAGGGCAAAAAAAAAAACATCTAAGGAGTGGTCGCTGATGCACGCACAGAATCAGCACATGACTGCGGCCATTTGTGGCGCCGTGATGAAGAAGGAACAAACTACCTCATGAAAACCCATTGAAGTTGGCCGCAGTGATACACAACACTTTTCGCATGTGTTCATGTTGCTCGCATATTAAAAAAGCTGACCGTCTGCAATAGCCAACTCTACTGCCCAAACATTCAACCGATTCCATACGGCTTAGAAGAGATGGCGCGATGCTCGTAAGCATCTGGAACGTTGCACTTCTGTGGCAACAGAATGATAGCGATCGCTCCAGATATTCTCTTCGGCGGTCACGTAGCCATCAGTGTAGCATTTGCATGTGCATGTCCTAGCGTAATACAACGGAGCTGGTTAAATGGACATTAAAGAGACGTGGACTATCCCCGCTGAAGCTTAATTACAGTATACAACTATTCGGCCGCCGGCCAGTGACAACTTATTCGCATAAAAGCACACAGGTCGCAGTCAATGATTTTGTAGGGCAATTCGCAATCTCCTCGACAATTTCCATGTTGATCTTACCAGCTGCTCATAGACGAATAGGATGCCCCAGGAGACCACGTAGAGGGATAAGAAGATGGTCAGCTTGATGGCGCTGGCCTGCCGAAGGCGGCCACGGGTGATCGTGTACCCCTTGGCGCAGAGAAGCAGCAGCAGCAGGAACGTGAAGTCACTGCCAGCCTCCAGGATCCGGCCTGTCGGAACACCGTGTTACATATTTCATCGCCGCTACTGGGGGTACCAAAATTCTAAAGGTGTAATGTTGCGCTGGATACCTTGGGACGGTAATGTGTCAGCTCGCGGGCATTCTTATGGATTGAAAACCCCAAATGATATCGATCGCGCCGGCCGTGTTTTTTGTGTTAATTGCATAGCGTCCGTCACATTTGAGCTATGACGTAAAGCGGAGAAAACGGCGGGGCACGCATTAACTGCTTATCACACTCCACTTACTGGTCAGATCAGTGACCGGTGGTGCCTTATTGAGTCAATTTGTATTGATGGCTGTGTGTGTCACATGTACGTCACAAGCAGCTCTCATCCTGAAGCAAAACTGAGCTGGCTTAGGCAGCCCCATTAGCACCATCGTGCCGGCGCGTTTGTGGGTCACACGCATCACAGCCTGTGCTGGTGTGCACTTGAACAACGCTGCCGGCACCTTCGACCGCACGGCGTGCGCGACGCCAAGACCCGCGAGGTCCGTACCTGCCAGCTTGATCTTCGGCAGGCCCTCGCCGTCGTTGGCGTAGCAGCGGTAGGAGGCGAAAAGCAGCACCAGGCCGGCCGTCTGCAGCAGCACGGCCGCCATAAACAACTTGTAGGTGGTGTGGAAGAGACCACGGGAGCGTAGCTCCGCTGCCGGCGACACGCATGTGACTCAGCAGAGGCGCCTCCAGCAGGAGTGGGGCAGACGGCACACGGATGACTCAGCAAAGACGCTTTCAGGGCGCAGGAGCAATGCCAGGTCAGCAGAGATCAGCATCCCTGAACGAGGGGGCGACTGGTGGGGGTCGAGGGCACACCGCCTCTAGGTAAGCGGGGCCGCTGCTAGTAAGGCGCCACGCTCCTGGCGTAGACCCCTAATAGGGAAAATATCGCATTTGACGAAAACAAATTTTGTCATGTTTGGTCCCATTTGCCCCCATCGCATACGCTCCTCATTGTTAAGTTCGCAGGTGCGACCAACACAGTGCTGGATTAACAAATTCTGACGACCAAAAGCCATAAAAGCGATCTCTCTGAAGGGCTTATATCAAATGGCACATGGATAAGTTTGAGCCTTACGGTGAGCTGCTAAAAGCGTCCAGTAATAACGGTGCTAGCGCTCATGTCAAGGGCAGGGCTACCGTTTACAGCGGCTAAGCAAATATAGAAGATAAGCTATAGGCGTGATAAACACGGCAACACCTTGCGTCTTACCTGCAAGAACGATACTTATGAAAAGAATTGCAGTCTGAATGCCTAGCATGCACATGTTTGTCCTTAGGATGTCTGAAACAAGAACAAATATATATTACATCGGAATGCATATGAAGACGGCCTCATGGAGCACTGTTGCACCAATCACCTGGGTGGCGTTTCGCGTGCCGGTGACAGGCATGGCCGCCGACAGGGTTATTGCATGTCAGCTCCTGATACCCAGTGTGCAATGTTGCAAAGCGTTGTGCTGAGGCTCACAACATTTCGTAGAGGAAAGCAAGGAAATGCGTTATGTTCCTGACTAGATGTTCAGCGTAATCTGGAGTTCAACGAGTTACTTGTTTTGTATTGCCTGACGGAGGATTTCTCTATGAAGGGAGGGCTACTCACCATTGTCACCGCACGTGAGGGGCTTTTCGAATTTGATTCAGGAAACTGAATTCGACAACGTGCCACGCAAGATGTTGTCGTAATAGACCCACGGCATCTAAATACTAAAACTGAGCATACAATACTCGTCTCGTGCTTAGTAACATCAAATGAGATAGTATTTTTGGAGACGATATCCGATCAGAATAGCGTTATACTTACGCATCTCGTCGGCCGAGAACTGGTAGGTCCAAAGGCTGTCAGGTGGCCCGTTGGTCATAAGAAAGTTGTAAGTCAGGCTAAGGCCCTGCAAAAAATCAACCACTGGTGGTGAGCGTAGCCCTAAAAACGAGCAGCTTTTCTGACGCTCAGCTGCTCAGCGCATGCACACAAATATTTACCACGGTCCGTCACAAAAAAGGCTGCTGTAGCACGCCATTACATGCTTCCATTTTCCGAAAAGCTCGGCCACCGCAGCCTGGGCTAACCATCAGCCCAGTGCTCATAATCTCGGCCATCAGTCCTAGGCCTTATGCAGCTGATCCTAGCTCCTGGCCCAAGCTCTCCCTCTGTTAATACGAGCCTCTGGGAGGCGTGTCCCACACGTTAATACGCGCCCCGGTAGCAGGTTGAATGCGACACGCTCAGGTGGGAGTGATCAATTCGGCCCTTCCCCCGAGACCTCAAAACTAAGAGACCTAGAACCACCACATGAACTGGACGGTAGCTCTTTATGTGAGCTCATTAGCGTCTGTTGTTTAGTCTCCATATCGTGACATTTGGTTCGTTTACCGTTACGTAAGGTCAAACTCGAGATTGGAATCTAAAGTAACCTAGTCCTGTTCACACAGAGAGCTTTAACCTAGACACTTGACTTATGGAAAGGATAAAATCTAGCTATGTGAGGCAAGTGACCTTACATTGCCTTTTATAAGTTCAATATTATCAAAAACTTTCAAATTGTTTTGATATTGATGCTCAGAATCATTGTCAAAAACTGCACTCAGCCGCATGTTTAAGCAAAAGGCTTAACGAGGTCGTGTTATGTCAGCGACATCTTCTGACTTTTGCAAAGTAGAAAAAGACTCTGTTTAGATCGCTGTGATACAAAAATTCAAACTAACCGTCTAAAACTTTTCCAAAGTAAGTTCTCCCTTAAAATGTTGTTCGTTTTGAAATTGACCACACATTCATTCCTGTACCTCAGATCATCGGAACTAGTTGCAATCCTATCTCAACTGTCTAGTTGACTACAAAAATCCCAACGTTGCGTATGACATAGTGTAACATGCAGGTGTCGTGTCAACTTGAGGATTTCCTCAAACGTTCCTCGGCTGACAGTCATGATCTGAGTCGGACCTTCCACAGGGTAGTAACCTTAAGAAGCATATCCATTCTTATACAAAAGCATCGGCTATTCGACTGTCGATAGCTAAACGATTTTTATTTGCGTCACTGCGTCGCACCGTTTGATTTCCGAAAACCTTAGATTTGTTAAATTGACCCACACCCGAGCGCGTGTTCACAAGTCCCAGCCAGCCTCTTCCGCCGCTGCAACTGTGAAACCTGGATCAAAGCGTCGATCCCGTTACTCGATCAAACCGATCCCAGTTACTGACCCAGCCTCTCTGGCTGCTACAGTGACCCGCGCCTGACCCGGGCCGCGTGTGAGTCCCACCTTTTCCGACTCGCAGTTGCTGACGGCGATGAACCACCAGCGCTCCCTGGCCGAGAAGAAGGTGCGGTTGCCGCGGCAGACGTAGGTGGGCTCGCGGTCCGTGCGACGGCGAGCCTCGCACCCGCTGAACGTGCTGAACTGCGTGCTCAGGTTGACGAATTGGTGACGCATCGGCTCGTCCAGCACCGCCAGCTTCTCCTCACAAGTCTGGCGGTGGGGGAAGTTGGAGTGGTAGATGGTGCAGGCAGGGGTGCGGCGTTCATCTCTACCCACATGATGCAGAGCAGCCTGATGACTGGTAGAGCCTTGTAAACAGCTGTATAACTAACCAGTGGTTCATCCAGCACCGGCGTATGATGTGTGTGGAACACCTTTCTCGTGTGTGGAAGAGTGTGGGCTGAGCCATGTGCCAGGAATTTCTTGACACGCAACCACATCAGGAGTGCGCTGCTGCCTTTCTGTGATCTTCGAGGTCCAAGTCACCAAAGAATCCTAAAGCCCACACATACCTTTACCGCAAAGCTATAAGTTGTGTCGGCCGTGCCTGCATCAGTCTGCTAACATGTCCCTATTTGAAAAGAACAAGTCTGGCACCAATTTGAGTCCGGTTGCAAAAATATAGATCGCCAAGTCGCGGGGACACTGGCAGAGCCCGGTCGTTATTAACCCCGGTTTTTCCAATGAACAACCCAAAAGCGACCTACCATAACTGCTCAAATAAATCCCAGGCTGGCAAGGTGAACACCCCGCGGTGCACACGCTGCACCCACACGGCCAGGGGAGCAGAGAGACCACGGATGGCAGCCGCAAAGACTGGCGAATTGAGCTGGAGCAGAGCAACTGTGCAACGAAGTCCCCAGCGCGATGCATCTCTGTCAATGTGATGGTGTACGCCACAAATTTCGGAAGGTGAATATCAGAAAAAGTCGAGGAATTACGTTTCGAATGAGAGTAAATGTCCAGGTTATATTCACGCGGAGTGTTGATGTTATATGATGCATAACACTGAAAATGCCTCCTTGATTCAAGCCTTAAGTTATAATGGCGTAGGTTCGCACCAAACTTCAACAGCGAGCACAGCTGTGGACACGGCTTTTTAACTCTCCATTTGCAAATTACGACTGGATAACTTTTCAATGGGTCATAAACTATTAACGGCATATACCGGTCATCACCAACTGCATGTAACATTTTGCCAACACTGCATGCCAGGTGGCGTTTCGACAGAGACAGTCGCGCATGCGGCTGAACGTTGTGACAAAGGCGGCGGTGCTCGCACCCATCCACCGGACCTCAGCAGGTAATTTACCTTGCCGCTCTTGTAGACGGCCGGCCACTGGTCTTCTGTATCATAGTAGAGTAGCAGCTTCTGCACGGCATATTTCTGTAAAAAGCAGGTGCAAAACGTAAGTAACAACGATAACGGCCTCCTGAAGTGGCTCAGTTTGCGAGTGTTCTTTTGTGCCTGCTAGCATTAGCTAAAGGCTCAACCTGTCGTAATGATTATTACCGTGCGCATGACATGATCCATGATTGCCACATAAACCGAGCGTTTTTTTTTTTGGCTGGTGAATACATTGGTCCAGGGAGCATCAATAACCATTATGGGCACCAGAGGCAGGCGTATTAAAGGTCCGGACACGCATGTCTGACACGCCAGACAGTGTCCCAGGTTGAGGCTCTGGACCAGCGAGTGCAAGGCACCTCACTAGTCCGGTTCTGGCGCGCGGACGTTAGCCTCACCCCCGCAACCAATAGAGGTGTTCAAACAGGCACGCTCCCGCTCCCATTGCTGCGTAGGGGAGTGTCGGTGTAACCAGATCTCCGAGATTGAATGGTCAGATCGGGTTTGGGGGAGTCAAACTAGGACGTGGAATACACACTGAACTGAAGGTGTCATATTCCTTGGGAAAACGTGATACAGCATGGCTGTGGAGGGTAAAATTGCAGTAGACAGTCACATCTTTTATTGGCTTCATGTAGCCCCCCCCCCCCCTTTCTGCCCGTGGCTCCACCATGTGGAAGGCGATCTAGGTGCGGAGCGATAGCGTTCCCGGCGCTCTTACCGATTCGTATTCCACTTCGTAGGTGAACATCCCCTCTCCAGAGAGGAAACAGAACCGTGTGAGGAAGGCCCATTGCTGAAAACGAATGGCATGTGTCAACGCAGTGTTCTGATCGACCGGCAAAGAATATGTGTACGCACGGATCGCTTATGAACCTCTTTCCGGCAGGGGAAAATGCAATCCTTGCGGCTTTTGTTGTTTTTATGAAACGGTTTGGTTCCTGATTATACTGTTACGTATGGTGTCCAAATTTTGGGTACGTGGCACGCGCGGAGGCAATTATACGGCCCGGTAGCGGCAGAAACCTCCAGTGAAGTTTAAAAGGTATGCAAATGTCGTGATCTTCCTAGTATGATATTCAATATCTTGGGGTTACAAGAATAACCGATGATTCCAGTAACCAAACCTGTTGCAATATGAACATGCAACTTCAGTAATCTAGCAAAGTTCCATGACAGAGGCGTTTGCAGGGCTCGAAAAGAGGAGTCCCCAAGCAGTGCGAAGTGCAGTGCGGATCGCTAATGCAGGCTTGAACGAATACTTACAGCATTTAGATGCAAAGCATTGCACTTAAACCAACATTTAAAGAAGCAACTGAAAAATGCAACGCAGTTTTGCAAATATGTACCTTATGTATATATAAATATATAGATATATATGTATAAACACACACACACACACACATATATATATATATATATATATATATATATATATACATATATATATATATACATATATATATATATATATATATATATATACTTACATAGTTTGATGTATGAAGCATTTTCCATTAACCACAGGATGATATTTGGCACAAAAGAGCATGATACTAATCATGATGTTTTTAGGCATCTAGTATACGAATGGTTACGAACAATGTCTGCATTTATTTGGACACAACATTCCCTCTTTGCTCATATGCATTGAGGAAGCTCAAAAGGGCATGGGGAGGGGGGCTCAGGTCAGTACTGAGGCTCAGACCTCCCCCGAAAGTATATAAAGTGCATACGGCTGAATGCGACGAATTGCGATGCGAATAAATGCGATAGAAAGAGCTGCGTAGACGATTGGTAGCAAATACAAATGACGGAAATACAAACATATGCGCATTCAAAGATATGAAATGCGAAAAATTGCTCCAGAGAAATTTTGTGGATACGTAGTAGCGTTACGCACATTCAGTAGAAAGTTTCCCGTTTGCGAAGAATTGCGTACAAAAGAAAATTATACGAAGATTTGCGACATCAGCATTGCGTGCGACGTTTTCGAATACGAAGCCATGCGACGGATTCACGGATTCACGGATCCCACCTATGAGCCCGCGCGACTGAAAATCGAGTCGCTGGAGCGCCACAAACACTCAATCTGCCCTTTACCTCCTCTGTTGAAATGAACATGAATGGAGCGTTAACCCCGGTTCATGCCTTCCGAACCAGCCACAGAATCCGTTGTTGCGTGCTAGAGGCGACGCGTTTAAGCCTATAGGCCCATAAACCGCAGGTGAAAAAGCGTTAAGGTGGAATCTCTCTACTCCTGAAAACATGACGACCGTAGGGCCTGCAGCGCGTTCTGCAGACCATCTGCTGCGGTCTAGTGGTATCGATTCAGAGATCGCTCTATCTGCGCTTTACACTTTCCGCGTTTTTTATCTGCGCTTTGTGGGTTTACAGGCTTGAATGTGGCGCATCTAGCCTGCAACAGCTGACTGCGTCAGAATCTGCAGCAGATTCTGCATCCAGCCCGCTGGGTGCGAGCGGCCCTTCAAAGTATAACCGGCCACTTTTGCGCGCTTAACCTAAATAAGCTGATTTTGAGGACCTTTGTCTCGCTATTGAAGCTAGGCGTTGATTCGTCAGCGGAAACGATGTCAGGCATTGAGGGTATTTACCTGGGTGGGCGACCGGCGTGTTGAAAGCAAACTGTGTTTTGTTCAGCATCTGTTGTGAGTTTGCATGTGGACTCCAGCGACCCCTGCACCTTAGTGACGGATACGCTGGGCTTAACGTACACAAGCCGCACTTCTTTGTCACTCGGTTGGAAGTCGGTTGGGTCGATGAAGATATGTCTGCCCTACTATCTATTCACTCCCAGCCCTGGTGTTACGTACCAGTATGACATTCGTCGACGACGCCAATATCATGAACGTAGGAGGGTACTCAATTTTGACTGTTATGATATAATTTGCGTGCATGATTGCAATAATAATATTGGTGTCGCTGGATGGTGTTTGGAAGCAATACTTGCATTATGCTTGGAAGTACATCATACATTCCACCAGATTGTCATCCAGCAGCACCAAATTACTCCCGTCCTGCCATGCATAATGGAACAGATCGCCAGTCGCGGCGCCAACGGCTGATAGCGGACATAACAGCATGCGACGAGATCAGAACGAATGACAGGATTAGCTCAAAAAGGGGCATTAGCAGCCCTTCGACCGCGTCAATCAAGGGCGTCCTTTCGCGGCCTCTCACATTTCCGCTTGTGGATAGAAGGAAATGTAGCAATCCGCTAGTAGACTGCTAAAATGCGGTTATTAGTACGCTACGTGCGATTACCATCTTTAAATTAACCGTTCATGGTCGTAGATCCTAAGATGGTATTTATTTTGTCCCGCACAACATACACAAATTCAAAATAGTTTTGAGTCAGACCATGTCTACCGTGTTGCTGCATCTGCTTCCGACGCACGATGGGTAAAGTGTTTGTCAGTTGTCTCTATTTTCCAATGCAAGGTCTTTGCACACGAAGTTTGGCCCCACCGACCTTTCAGCCACGTGTTTCCATCCATCGGCCCCAAGCGGCTACACCAGGGGCTTATCAGCATTACGAAACATTCTCAATAGCACAAAATCGCGCCGATTATAGATATGTATTCTGCATGTACTACTAAATATAGATGAATGCTGTTAATGCAGCTGATCATACTAAATGCAACCCCGAAAGCTCTCGTCGTGTAGAGGCCAGAATAACCGATCACTCTAATGCATGTTGTAGGCTGGAACACCTGCCTTCGAGGACTTCATGTAGATAGCCTAAGAATGCATACCACACCAGCCCGTTTGTGAGGTAGAAAAGTGATGATCTGACGAGTGACAACACTAGCAGGGGGGGGGGGGCCCGTGCCTTAGCGTTCGGCGCGCCGCGCAGCCGTGCAGCGGCTCGATTCACGCGCATGGATCCCGCTCAATCCGTGCGCCAATATTGGTTCAAAATGGCCCGCGCAATATTTCTCTCGCTTGGATGAAAAGTATCCATGGCTATACCGCATTGGGTGGCAGTATTCTATGGCTATTATCCTATGGCTTCATTTTGACGCTGCTTTCGATATTAATTTGGCCTGTCTGATCGAGAGCGTGCGGGAGTATTAACATGGCTGCTATTTGATCGCATGTCACAAGGATTACACAACCACGGGTGCTTAACTCGGCCGCCGCGGTAACAGACGGCAGTATCAGCCTTAACCCACGGCTGTGAACCGTCTCAGACTGTCCCATCCGGGTCTCGATGTGGGCATTCAGCAAAAGCCGAACATCTCCAAAGTCCGTCTGTAAATCCAACTACGCACCACAACTGGGCAGGAGCCGTGCGGTGCAAAAGTGGAGAAAGCTCGGCTTTCGTTCTGTCCACATCGTCGCAGCTGTTCGTTATGCATTTGTCGCGTTTTTCAACGAGCTAGAACCACACCACAGCGAAACATAACTAGTTGTCTCAATACCCCGTGGCTTCAATCACTGGCCCTGACACGGGCGAAAACTTCACAGTAACATCGCAGTCTTTACTGACGTTTTTCCATGCAAGCCCGTCAAAATCTTTGGACCCGCCGCCCCTCCCCCCCCCGCCCCGTCGTGCAGCAGAAATCACGTCCTCAATCCTCAGTTCGTAAAAAGCACGCTGCTGTGAAATATTGCACTTCCCTGATTCGGATCCCGCGCCCGAACAGCTGCGTGGGTGGGCCGTCGCGCGACGCCGCCAGCGTGCGGCAGCGTACCTCTCTGGTGCTGAGATGGCCCCTCACCACCTTGCCGTCGGCCTGGGCGGCCAGCAGCGCCGTCAGCAGGATCGCCGCACCGAACATGCCATCCGCACGTGCCTGGACCGTCTGCGACAGTCCCCAGCGGCACGCCGGCCGGGCGCCGCTAATCGATGCATCGAACGGTGGCGCGCGGGGCAGCTGCCTCACGAAACCGGGGCGCGCCGGCCGCGGGCCCCGGCACCGAGCCGGTCTGAGGTGGCGGTCCCGGCGCGGCCGAGCCTGTGCGCCCAGCCGGCTCTGGCTCACGGCCACACCAGCTCTTTAACGGACGTCTGAGCAATCCGTTCATTTGTGCGCGGCAAGGCTTCTCACACACCGCGCCGGTGGAGGACACAGGACCAGGGGGTTGCCGTGGAAACGGGTAGCAACAAAGGTGTTGATAATGCGCGCCTGGTGCTGTTGTGGCCGCAACTGGCCGGTAGTGCGACGCATGGACCTCCAGCAGTTGGTGACGCCATCGTACTGAGCTGAATACCGGACGGGGGTGACGCTATTTTCAATGGACCATTGGCATGACGCCTTGCAATGACGGTCGCATGGGTGTAAGGGCACTGTTGAAAGGTCACTGACCCATTTGCTAAGATTGAACGTGATATGTGAATACATTCACTGCGAGGCGCACACATTTGAGACCCGAGCCGGCACATAGGTAATCGGGGACATCACTTGGTATACTATTGTAAGGCCCGAGCCCCCAGACGCTAATTTCAGCTCCATGCCCCTCTGAGTCCCCCAATGCTTGTGGATAAAATCAAAACACCAAGCCAAGGACGCAATCGCGAGTTATCCCGAACTGTTTGTGCATGTATCTGAACACATAACCCAGCATTGCGCTTATTTCGTACCACAAAACATCCTGCATCTCTTCTCTTGCCAGCGTTATCAGACAGCGGCCTGATTTGGTGTCAAGTTTGAAATGCACGCAGAGTAGGATAAAACAGTGATTCCAACGGTTAGTCGTCATGTCTATCAGCCAGTGATGGCGGATAAGTTTTCGGATAGGGCGCCAGCAGCCTTTCATGGGCTCCTTGAGTATACCGCACTCTATGTAGGCGCATATTGCTTCAAGTTGAGTCCTGGACTGAACAAGCAGTGAAGATCGGGCAAGCTGTTTCGTCGTGTGCAGCGCTGACCGTGTCGATCCTGTAACAACCTAGCGCTGGCTGTTTGATCGCGATTCATCAGTCTGTCTCTCGGTTGTGCGTCGGCCTGTAAATTTGCCAGCGAGCCTGCCAGTCAGTTGGCCTATAGGTCTCCCAGCGAGTCTGCCTGTCAGCTGTTCCATAGTTCTGCTAGCGGACCTGCCGGCCAATCAGTATGTAGGTTTACTGAAGACCCAGCAGACCCACTTGGCCTGACAACGGGTCTGCGGCAACAATCGGTCCGTAGTTCGGTCAACGGGCCGGCCGATCTGTTGGCCCATAAATATGTTTACCGACACTTAAATGATGTCGTTTCATTATAAGGGTTTTCGTCACAGATTTCGCTGATTTATATCGAATTTCAAGTTCTTCGTTTATGACTGAATGCGTTCTTTTCTATCATCATGACTTCAAGCGCGCGTTACTGCATAGCACGCGCAGACGGTGACGTCGTCGATCGCGATTCGGGCTGCAACCTCAGGGCATGCTGAGTTTGGGCTTTGTCATAAGTCGGGGTTTCCCAGACTTTCTACAGAGCGATGACGTCACTGATGCTAAGGCTTTAATGCGATCCGGCTGCAGCCCGCGGGGCGTAACGTTGCGGGGGCAGCCGAAACATCAGAAATCCTCGTACAGATAATGAGCAGTCTGTTAGCGGGAGGTGTACATGACCAGCTAGCCAATTACAAACAATTTTCTGGAGAGTATGACGATGTGTTCTTTTATGTCCATGCCGCTAACTGCCTTCGCACCAATAATTAATAAACCGCTGGAACAGGCGCATGTAGATAGGGGACCCAATGCGTAGAATTTAATGGGCAGTATGGTGGTGCCCTTATTGCAAGTTTATAGCATAGCGGTTAAAATGCAATAGCCATGAAAAGCGAAAAAGTCCCCGTGCGGAGTTTGGGGATAAGAAGCCTAGGTAATAGGGCAACGCTCTTACATGTGACAAGTATAAGCTATTACTGGTATGTGCATCCCGCATATATTGGTTAATTAGTCAGGAAAATTGAAAGGGCAAACAGGAGTATGTGCTTTGCGACCTCATGTTCAGTAAGCTGCTGAAATTAATAAAATTTAGCCTGGGGCCCATGAGCTTTGACTGGAAAAAGTCATCAAAATGATCTAGCTTTTACGGGGCTGATTAGAGCAGTGTTACAGCAAGTTGAAATAAGCAAGGAATGCTCACAATTTGATGAAAGACAAAAACGCAACGCTAAACAAGTGGTGGCCGATGCCAAAATACAGCCAGCCGCGAGTCTCTTGTGTTTGTCTTCAATTTTCAGGCCAGTGCCTTGTTATGGCGTACCGCATGGGCTCGCAAAGCGCATCATCATGCTCCACATCAAATTAGATGTCATCGGCTTGCTGGGCATGTGCACTTTCCATGGATGGCTTTTTCATGCACGGCAGTTTCATTTTGCATTGTCATTTCATTCTTTCGATTTCATTTTTGTTTCACTTCATCGCTTACAAGTTTAATTTCATTCCATTTTTTGTTTCACTTCATTGCCCAATAATTGTTTTCACTCCATATCATTGCTTTAATATTGGCATGCTCCGGTTGCCCCTAAGCATTACGTCCAGCACCCCGCGGCCCCGCGCGCCTCAAGGTCGCGTAGATCAGTGACGTCATACTACCGTTTGGCGAAGATGAAGCGAGAATCACCGGACGGTTTTACCCCTCTTGGATGGGGGTGGGGGTTCTTGGCCGCAACACGGATTCGTTGGGGGAGAGTCCCCGAGTGCGTTGCGATGTCCGTTGGCTGTCTGTTCTTGTTTCTCGCACGGGTCACATTATTGTTGTAGCTACTTCTGGCTGCTCTGTGCTCCTCATTTCTATGGGATTAAATTTTCCACCTGTCCTTTGGCATGGACAATGCAAATTACCTATCTGACGCAGGCTTTACTGAGCCGCAGCTGGCCAAACAGAAGCTGCATAGCAAAAGGGCATTTGAATTGATTGGACGGGCATTGAAGCTTGATGAAGAAAATAAGACTGGTAGGTGCTGTAGTCAATATCTGGTAGCTCACACGTTGTGCAGAAGTTATGATCATTTAATATTTTTAGGATGCTGATAACCAGGTACCACGGTACCAATCAGCAAGGAATCCATCCTTTGCTCCAGATATCTATGTGACATGTGTGTGCTGAACCCTGTGCTTATCTATGCAGAACACATGCCAGGCTGAATATCACTGAAATTTGAAGTCACTTGTGCCTCATTTTTTTGTTGTAAAGTTTGGCAACAAATTATGCTTTCATTATTATGATTCCTGGCAACATGGCTGTCATGTTCTAAGCTTGGTGGTTACTGTGCACAAAAGCTTAAAGTCACATATTTACAGTACACATGTGCTGAAGCTATTGCCAGAATATTGCTGCTACCCCTGACATGTTAAAAAACCATGTGGCCAAAGCACTATATATTGTTAGGGTGCAGTATATTGCAGTAATCATCATATACTAGTATAGTTTTTGTGATGGACATGCAGGTTATGGTTAAGATTATTCCCTATAAGGTAAATTTGGGATGTAGTGAAATAACTACTGAATGAAGGAAACAGGTTACATGTGTTATCTGCTATGTTCAATATGAGAGGCAAAAAATGACATTCATGATTGATACCATGCAGCCACTGCAAGCAGCTACCACCTAGCAGTTCAGGGAAATCAATGATAAGGATGAAGTGGATGTGCATTTGAGGTTGCCTTTCAAATTATTTATGGTGTCACTGGGAAATCAAATAAGTAGATTATAGGAGTGACCTAACCTAGCTCAGTCTAACCTAACTTAGCCCTTACCCTGTTTCTACACCTCCTCCTGCATCTATTTTACTTAAGATTGAATATGAACCTTTTGATTGGATGTATTTCTAAGGTCAGGACTCACATTAAGTGGTGCTTGTTATGTGAGACAGGACCCTACCATGCAATCATCAAAATACAGGTCAAAAGTGGAATTTAGCATTCTAAGGTTAACATGGTCATGGTAAAGCATGGTAAGGTACATGGTAAAGCATGGTAAGGTACATGGTAAAGCATGGTCCATCCTGCCTTCTCCTCTGATATGACTTGATCTTTGCTGCTACTGATAGTCATGTCCCATGGCCGTGAAGAACAATAATTAGCAGTCAAAGCAACTTGGACCCACCCTGCCATGGGTGAGTGGGTTAGAAGGCAGGCACCCAGCCCAGCTGGCTATTATGTTAAGATAGGATTAGTACTCCTATGGTTTCCCTTGCACCTACCACCCTGTGCTCTTAAACTAACTTACACCATCACTGCAGTAATTGGCCATGGCACACCAGGTGATGTTAATTTTTCTCAGTTATGAGAGATGAAAATGTTGATAGCTTTTGGCTGATTGTCTATTTGTACTTGAATGATCACCTCCTGGCTGGTCATCTGGGCATGAGACTGTGCTAGCAAAAAATAACATTTCTTAATGTAACAGCAGTTGGGGCACAAGGCCCAGATTCCAATCATGAGGACAATACACATATTATATGTAGCATTTTGATTGAACAATGAACACCCAAACTATGCCTACTTGCCCATGGGGCACCAGTATTGACATGATCAGTTTTGACACTCCCATCATCCATTTGTTTGATGTCATGGTGATGAGAGGAATCATTTGAAAAATGTAACCTCAACAGAATATGCAATATTTACTACAAGGTGTATGCCAAATAGTACCATGCAGTGCAATGCCCAAATACCTTAACCAATTGCAGGTGCACACATCACATCACACATCTACATCTGTCTGTACAGCCTGTATAGCTTTGTATGCCATGATGTCAGGCATTTGAGCAGAGGGATCATGTACCTTATATCATGTTTGATACTTTGAATACTATTTACAATGTCTATACACTATGTGCATGTCTGTTCACCATTGTCACTATATGATCATAATTATGATTTGTGGAGATAAGATGATACAATATGCCTGTTTTCTGATTAATGGCAGTGTTTTCTCTTTAAACAAGGTGACTTGTGCAGAACTAGTTTTTGTCAATTTAGGCAAAAACCTTTGCAGTGGTTGGTATGCATGTAAATAAGATATGATGAGTGGCTTCAACTATTCACGCAATAAACCACTCATCAAACATATGCAGGTTCACTTAATGTAAGTTGTAAAGTACATTTCTGGGAAACAGGCATTTCAATAACATGACGTTTGATGGTGTAGCCAATGGAAAGGGGCTTCTGAAGCCACGTGCCCTGGCCCCTGAAAGGGGCTTCTGAAGCCATGTGCCCTGCCCCCTGAAAGGGGCTTCTGAAGCCATGTGCCTTGCCCCCTGAAAGGGGCTTCTGAAGCCATGTGCCCTGCCCCCTGAAAGGGCTTGAGCAAGCCTGGAAAGAAAGATCCCTGTCTTGTTTGGCATGTTAAGATTACTTGGCTTTTAAAACATCAAAACCAGACCCTGGGAGCATAGCAATGAGATCCTGAGCCTAAAGTGGTTCCCCCAGGTTCAAAACAAGGCACCTACCACCAGCTACAGTAACATAGTGGTGTCTCATACCTGACATGGCTACCTTTCCCAATTAGGGCTTCCTTTCAGCAAAATATGGCTCTGTGACAGTTAAGGGTAGTGCATTTTAAATTGAGATCAACACTATGAAGCTTATAATTTTGTGATCTAAGGCTCATGGTAATTATTGGACAATGGCCAAAGTGGTTTGTGCAGAAGAGCCCCCAGCCACACACATACACATCTCCAGGCTGACATGACAATTGCCAAAACTGTAAAGCATTGTGAATCTATCACTATTGTATACTGGAATTACCTAGCTTGACCATACTTAAAGCCAAACAATTTTCAAGCAATCTGACTATTGAATCACTGCGGAAAGCCTACATCCTGAAGACTGCCTGTCCCACTCTCATGGAAGCATCTTTCCAGTGTATTGATCAACCCCATTGGTATGGGCTGCCTAATGTATCTGGCTGTACTAGTGTAGCATAAAGATCACCTGGACAATATCAACAGACTGCCCTTTCTTCTTTATTTTGCTTGTTCTTGTTTTACCATTTTGCAAAGTTCTCTCCTGCATTTTGATTTTGCTGCTCCATGCCCATGTATGTTTATTCTATGATCAGTCTGAATGACATTTCTGCCATCAAAAGGCAAAAAAGCCTAAGAGGCATTAGTTAACACAACACTTAAGCCTTTTGCCTTTGGGTGGGGTATTTGACCTCATCATGTTTTCAGCTTATCTTTGCACTGCACACCAGACCGAACTCGTTCGGACCACGGGGCCCAGACTATCCGTGGATCACAGATACTTGGCATACCACATAGGCCTTATGTTAGCTTTTGTCAAACTTGTAAGGAGAAGCAGTTTGACTTGAGGATGAAAGATGGCGACTTTCTGAATTTTCTCCATGCAAACATTGCTCTCCAGTTGAGGAAATGAAGTGCCCTGGGTAAGGATAGGCACAAGTGGCAGTGTAGCTTGTGACAGCACATGGGGCAGCATCAGTAGAACAACACTGAGATGTGAGATTAGGCACACCCTACATGAGGGCGATACTCGTAGGTTTGCGCCTTTACTACAATCCAATCCAGATGATTTGGAACTATATAAAGGCTGACATTAGCAAGCAAGATTCAAGATTTTCATGAGTGATGTAGTCTAGACTGCTGCCTGACTTGTGTGCCAAGTACTGTGAGTTTGGAACCTGCGTGCTGACCTTACCCTTGAATCCTGGATCCAGTTCCTTTTTGCTTCGAAAGTGCGGCGTGTGGAGTCCAAGATGCTGTTGCGTGTTTTGCCAACAGGTTTACTGCACATAGGATCTTTTAGAGAAGGTGGTTAAGTAGTCCGTCCCGGTGGTTCAGGGTCCGTCCCGGTGGTTCAGTTGATTAGGGCGCCTGCCTTCCGATCCACCCACCCGTGGCGGGGTGGGTTCGAATCGCTTTAGGGCGCTCGCTATTTGCCCTTGACAGGTATGCCCTGCGGCCGGTGGCAGCGGCCGCGCTTAAGGTCAGGTGACGTCAGAGGGCAGGACGGAGCGTGCCGAGCATTGCGGCACGTTAAACTTTCGCCACCAAATTATGCCGTTGCCTGGGATTGCGCGATCGGATGGTGGGGCTCAGGGCTCACACAAGCACTGCTAAGCGTTAGCTCTGATCCCAGAAATCCACCCATTCAAAGGGTTTGGATCAAATTTATAAAAAAGTAATCCTGTGAAAGCCAGAATCTTGGAAATTTGGCTGAAGGACTTTTTCAGAATCTATTTTGCAATTTTCTTAAAGAATTGGGATTCCCTGCTGTGATCCACACGCATGTGTGCATAACAATGCCCCGTGTGGAGCAGCAAACAGCAGCCATATCGCCTTCCCATTGGACATAGTCAGGCTTGTGCATCTGGTGTCATGGCTGGGGTTTGGCGCTGGCAACCAAAGTTGCTGGCCTTTTGGCAGGCAACCGCGCGGAGGCGGTGCAGCTGTACCGTCTGGGTATCGCGGAGCTGGAGCGGGGCATCGCGGTGGACTGCTCGGGTCGCGGCGAGGACCGCCGTCGCGCCCAGCGCCTCCAGGCCAAGATGCAGACCAACCTAGCCGTGGCTTCCGACCGGCTGGGCTTCCTCGGTGAGTTGGGCGCCGGTCTACCGCCAGCGGTGGAAACCAGCCGTCAGCGCTGTGTCGTGACGGCGGCGGGAGTGCGGTTCCTGAGGAGGCAGAGTTCGGCGGTGCGGGTCATTCCACGGCTCTTAGTGGTAGTGGTAGTGGTGGTGCGTGTAGGGCCAGATATCTGCGGTTTTTCGGAGATGAATGTTGGGTATCTCGCGGTGAATGTTCGATAGGTGAAAACCCTGCTGTATCATCTGATCCGGCCGCGTCTCGTTGGTTTACCATCATGGACCCGTCAATCCTGCGCTTACATGCAGTTAAATGCTCCATTGAATGTCATGGAATGCATGCACTTCCTTATCACCACTGACGCGCGGATCACTTGCAGAGCGTCACCTGTCGAGCACCGACGGTAAGTCGTATGTCCTGCTGCCCTCCGCTCTAATGAAGCGCCTCAAACCTGCACGGCACGCCCGGCCGTCGCGAGTGAGCCTCCCTTGCCAGTCCGCCTCCTTCGCTGGTTTGCCTCCTTCGCTGACCGCGGCTCCGGTCCGCCCCTGTCCGCCAATCAGAGCGCATGCTGACGCTGGAGGGGCGCCACGTGGAGCCGGCGGCGAGCGCGGCGGCGCGGCGTCCGGCCGCGGCCCGGCGCACCGGCGGCGGCGGCGGCGGCGGTGGCCCGGCGCCACGCCAGTCCAGCCCGGCCGCGCCCGACGGTACGCTGCCGGCGCTGACCGCTGGCCAGGGGGGAGGGGACAGTCCGCACTGCTGACGGCCGACTCGGGCCACACTGCCGACGGTCGACTCGGGCCACACTGCTGACGGCCGACTCGGGCCACACTGCTGACGGCCTGCATCGTGCTGAATGTGACCTGTTGTTGCTTGCGATGTGTGCTGTCTGACACAGGCATGCCAGCGGCATGTGGTTGCTCGCAGATGCACATTTATTGTATGGCATGCACATGTGTATTAGTGCGTGTACGTGCGTGCATACGTGCGTGCATGCGTGCTTGGGTGTGTGCGTGCGTGCATGCGTGAGTGTGATGTGGTATAATACGGGGATATAGATTATCAACAAAATATTTAATTTTCGTTTCAAAACGTTGATTTTTGCCTCATGTAAAAAGTGCCTCCTATTTGCGACGCCTCCCGAAAAGCAACCCGTTGACACGTAACTTTTTCTCGGATGAATGGTGTACAAAGAGAAAATTTATGCGCAATGATCTACTGTTTTCTTTGTTTCTGCACTGCCGCGGACTGCAGAGCCTGTAAGTTCTGCGAGGAAGATAACGCCGGGATCGGTACCTTCACGACGACCGACTACTCTGACATCTGGCGGCGGAAAGCCAGCTGCTGCGGGTCGCCGAAAGGTGTCGCCGTCCGTCCCGTCCGCCCGACCGCTGCCCGGAAGGGTATGTATTGTTCCTCACGGAGGTTCGAACGGAGGGGCCGAACGGACCTACATAAATATTCCCAGTCATCGGGCTTCGGCAGGCATGTCATCAGTGTGAGATCTGTGGATATATGGTAACCACATCTGCTGTGATCATTCCACACAGAATTCTTCTTGCGTGGTTTTTGGACATTGCGATTAACTAAGGCTCATCTTAGATATCTCTGGCTATCAGCGCCTCCGAACCGCTGGCGAAAGTCGGCGCCGTTGCGAGGACAGCTACCTGCGTCGTTGGTGTAAGTCGCCAGCAGATGGTCGTGCGCGGCAGCCGATACTGCTGTTGGCGCAGCCCGCTGCGCCCTGCGCCGGCAGCGGAGCGTCTGCCGCGTCCTGCCCACCTGGCGCCGGTCGTATTGACGGCTACAGCGGCGACTGTCCGTGTCAACAGCGCGCCTCGCCGTCTGCGCCTGGTCCGGCCCGCGCGGCGCCGGGTACCGCGCGGCGGCCCACCTCGACGTCCGGCCTCAAGGGCGTCGACCCCAAGCTGGCCCAGGTCATCCTGGACGAGATCATCGACGCCGGCCCGGTGGTGACGCTCGACGACATGGCCGGCAACGAGGTGGGCGGCCGGCCGTGCGCTGGGCTCCGTATAGACGACAGGGCCGTGCAGGGTGCAGAGCAGGCTCGGTGTAGTAGACAGGGCCGTCGAGGGTACAGTGGGCTGAGCATGGTCGGTATTGTCGACATGGCCCTGCAGGTTACGTTCGCTCATTCACTGACGGCAGGTCGTGGCATGTCGAGAAACATCGATACCAACGGTCGTGGCGGGGATCGGCCGGCGGATGTGCCGTCCCGGTCCGCTGGGTGGGGCCCTGAGCCCGGTGATCAATGATCGGATTCGCCATCAATGGCCATGCCGTCTCAAACCATCTGAGTCGGCGTCAATCAATGCATGCAGCCTTACCGTACTTAGATCGGATGGTTGATGTCTGGTTTGGCCCAGTTGATGGCCGGGTGATTATTCTGGTCTTGCCTGAGCCGACAGTTGATGGCAGTATGTTTCGTTGAAGCTCGTTGACAACCTTCTAGCCTCGCCGCTCCGGCTGAGGCCAACGTGCCCCATCTTAACTGACGATCGTCCTGACTTGTCTTCACCGATGGACGAATCCGCGTCGTTTGCTGACTGACCACGGCGGCGGATGGCCGGCGCCGGTCGGCTGACAGTGTTTCCCTGTTGACAGTCGGCGAAGCGGGCGCTGCACGAGCTGGTGATCCTGCCATCGGTGCGGCCCGAGCTGTTCACCGGTCTGCGCGCGCCGGCCCGCGGGCTGCTGCTGTTCGGACCGCCAGGTGAGACGCGGTGGTGACCGGCGGGCTGGCGGTTATCCCCTGACGGCCGGCCCCGACGGTTAGCCCCTGACGGCCGGCCCCTGACAGTCAGCCCCTGGCGACCAGTCGCTGGCGGCCAGTCCCTGACGCCAGCCTGGTAGACTCTGTGGCCTCGGGCGCCAGCCGGCTCGGACGGAATGGCCCGAGACAGGCACAGTCACCCGCCGCGTGGGAGCCAGGCCGGCCACGGTGGCCCCCGTGAGACCCTTGTCCGACTCGTGGGTGGGTCCCTGGTCGGGGTCTGTGTCCCCTTGCGTGGCCAGGTCTGTCGATTCCTGAGAGGGACGGGGATATTCAAGGTAAGGTTGATCGATCGTTGATAAATTGGCTTCGTCTAGTTCAAGCATATCCTGAATAGCTTTCCATTAACATTCTTTTTTGCTGTGACCTCATCAATCACATGCTGGCATATTATATTGACAGGAAAAGCCGTTCCCCAAATGTTCACGTTCCGAGCCAGGAGTATCGCAGTCGTGGTCCCGTAGGTCAGTGTGTCAGTATCTCAGCAGGTCAGGATCTCCGCTGGCCGTGTTGGTGCATATTGCTGTGCCACTTTCTCAGGCAACGGGAAGACGATGCTGGCCCGGGCGCTGGCCAACGAGGCGTCCGTCACCTTCTTCTCCATCAGCGCCTCCAGCCTGACCAGCAAGTGGCATGGCGAGGGCGAGAAGCTGGTGCGGGCGCTGTTCGCCATCGCCAAGCAGCTGCAGGTGCGGTGGCGGCTGGGGTGGGTGCGAGGGCTGCGGCTCTGCTACTGTGGCGGGACTCAGGGCTGCGATCGTGAGGGGCCGCTGGGAGTCAGGTCCGGCCGCTGCCACCGCTGTTGGTGGGGAAGGCCCGGCCTTACGATAGGGCAGGGACTGAGGTCGTTGGTGGGACAGCAGTGGGAGCGGCGATCTGCGAAACGGCGCTGGAAGGAGCGTCGCATTCGTGCGAGGACAGCGGCGGGACCGGATGCCTCTGCGTGAGGGGGAGGGGGGGGGGGGGCTGGAGCTGGCGGCCTGACTTATGCGACAGTGGCGGGACTCGGGAGCCGCCCGTGTGACGCCGGCGGGGCTGGGAGCTGCCCGCGCGGCGTGCTGTCGGGGTGACCGCGGGAGCCATCTCGGCAGCCGCGGGGGGCTGCCCACGCTCCTGCCTCTAACCCCGCGCCGTGCTCCAGCCGTCCATCATCTTCATGGACGAGGTGGACTCACTGCTGTCCGAGCGGCGGGAGGGCGAGCACGACGCTTCGCGCCGGCTCAAGACGGAGTTCCTCTGCCAGTTTGACGGGCTGGCCACCTCTCCTGACGAGAAGATACTCGTGCTGGCCGCCACAAACAGGCACGTGGAAACACCGAGCGCGGCCGTGGCGCTGCCGGGCACTCGGCTTATACCTCATGGCTGCTGTCGCAATGGAAGGCTATGGCTTGATGTTAAGCCTTGTTGGTTGTGGATTGTGCAGTATTTAATCAGAGTAATTGGAGACGTTGTTACCACGCATCAGTTGGCGGGTCGGGCAGTTGGGCGCGTCGGCCCGCCGCCGGGCCGGCCGGCCGTGTGCGGCTGTGTGGGCGGGCCGTGACCGGGCCCTGCCGTCCGCCGACAGGCCGCAGGAGCTGGACACGGCCGTGCTGCGCCGCTTCCCCAAGCGGATCTACATCCCGCTGCCGGACGAGGCGGCGCGCGTGGCGCTGCTGGGCCGGCTGCTGTCGGCGCACGGCCAGCCGCTGTCGGCGCGCCAGCTGCAGACGCTGGGCCGGCAGACGGAGGGCTATTCGGCCAGCGACATCGCCGCGCTGGCTCGCGACGCCGCGCTCGGCCCCATCAGAGGCGAGTGGCGCACCGATAGTCCCCCGGCCGCCCCGCCGCCGCTGCCACCGATATCATCGGCGATATCATTATCGATTGCGTTGGCAGCTTGTGGCGATTTGAAGGGAGTGGACGAAATGTGTAGGGAGATATGTATATGCTTTATTTTAAAACAAAGTCTGAAATTGTGTTTGATTTTGTCGCCAGCAGACACGTATGCGGCATTCCTGAAGTTTCCCGGCATTCTCGTCATCCCGTGACCACAGCTGTTGCCAGCCCGTGGCTGAGTCTTGTGAGCAGTGGGGTGGTGTTACCAGAGCGCCCTGGCCGTAACGTCCCCGTGCCAGTGTCAGGTGTGCGGTGCTCCTGCAGCGGCCGTCGGCCGACCCGGTCCTGACCTGTGCCGGCCCGCCTCCAACAGAGATGGACCAGGAGGAGGTGAAGCGAATCGACCCCAAAAAGCTGCGCCACATCAGCCTCGACGACTTCACCGACTCACTGCGGCGGATCAGACGCTCGGTGGACGAGCAGGCGCTGGCGCAGTACGTCAAGTTTGGGCGAGAGTTCGGCGAGCTGCGGTCGTGATGCGCCGCCGCGGCGGCGGCGGCGGCGGCCGAGGCGGCGCTCCAGAGACGCGGGCGGCCGGGGGACGAGGATGGTGCCTGCCGGTGCCCGCTGCCGTGTCGGCGGGGGACGCTTGTCTGTCCCGCCCGGGCTCCGCTGTCTGACCGGTCACCCACCGTGTGTCTGTCCTGTCTCCGTGTGCTCGGTCTGCAGCTGCTGTGACGTGCTGGCCGCTCGTCGTTCCTGTGGAGCTGGCCTCAGTCTGCAGCTGCTGTGGCGTGCTGGCCGCTCCTCGCTCCTCTGGGACCGCCCTGGGTCTGCAGCTGCTGTGGCCTGCTGGCCGCTCCTCGCTCCGCTGGGACCGCCCTGGGTCTGCAGCTGCTGTGACCTGCTGGCCGCTCCTCGCTCCGCTGGGACCGCCCGTCTGACCCTCGCACCGGACTCGTGACGCGTCCTCCGCCGGGCCGGCTGAGCCGACCCCTCCGCTGTGCACGGCAGCTGGTGGACTTGTGCGTGGCACGGCAGCTGTGGCATTCCGCAGTGCCGAGCCTGGACTTGTGCGTGGCACGGCAGCTGTGGCATTCCGCAGTCCTGAGCCTGGACTGGCGCCCTCTGTAGGTGCGAGTGATGGAAAAAACGGCTGATATTATACGGACTGAAGTCCAGGTGGTGTTTAGTCACCTGTCAATGTTACTGACTGGCCGGACCTCTTGTAAATTGTGAGATAGAAGGTTTCGTTCCTGTCTTCTTGGATTGCAATCTCGAACGCAGCGTTAGGTTCTGTCCCTGCATTTAATGTTGCTGGGGAAAACGTTGAACGTTAAACGAAGCTGGACGCAGGGGACATGTTGCCCCTTAGACACGTCTTTGAGAGACAATGGAGCAGGGTGGAAATCTTGGAAGAATATTTGTCGGTTCCACGCCAATAAGATGCGGCTCGTTTCAAGTTGCGAGCATGCGTCATGGGTAGCATGTGATTTATAGACGATCATTTTTCGCGTGCATTACCGTACACGCCCGGCAGAACAGCCCGTTGTATACTTTATCTCGTGTTCCATAATCTAGCTGTGAATACTGGGTGTGTGGGCAGTACCCCCTCCCTCCGTGTTCTTGGGCGCCCCTTGGACCAGGGACACTGTCAGTCATGTGCACGTGGTGTGTCTGCCCCTTCTGAATATCATTCCTGGGAGTACGGACCCTGTGAGTAATGGTCGTGTTGCGCACAGGATATATAGTCAGACTCGTACTGTTGATTTATCGCACGTGCCGTCCGTCATTCACGCACCGTGCGCAAGTGTGTGGGGCAGAGTGAAATCGATCGCACATCATCCCTGTCTCGTCATCGTCTCAGTGTGTTATGGTGTCCTTACTATTAAGCGCCTCGGCTCGTAATACCCCGAAGGAGCGTCTCTCCGCGCTGCAGTCCCCATGTGATTAACGCCGCGTGTGACGGGTCTCAGGCACTCGGGAACGAATGCCGGCATTGTTCGGTTTCGATGGCCCCTGTTTCGAGGCCGGCGCGGAATGCTAGCTTCTGATCTCGCGGCTCAAGTCCAGCTGAGCCGGCAGAACCGTGTGATAGAGGTCACTGCGACGGGGTCCGGCGCGGTTGACCCTGGGCCCAAGAGGCCCCTGCCTGGGCCCGAGAAGAGAAGTGATAGTGTCTGGTCGGACAGAAGTCTAATCAAATACGGTGCAGGGTCGTGATAGCTCTAACCTCTGCCGCTGTCATGGCAGGCGAGTGTCAGGTATTGACTGTTTCGCGGAATCCTGCCAACGTCATGTGTGAGGTGCCGCCCACTGGTGCCCAGGCAAACCCGATGTATTGGTATCCGGCTTGGCGAGCCGTGCTTGTTATGTAACGTCAACATGCGAGAATAAACAAGATGTTCTAACAATACCGTGCTGCTTGGGCGCCAGGCGCCAACTCGGTGGGCATGACTAGTCAAGTGCGCGCCGATGGCGAATGTTCTGCTGGCGCTATGCGCTCCATGTCGCTTCCCGCTGTACGCAAGCCACACACACACACGCACACTCAGCAAAGGTGAACGGCTCGAAACGTGATCACACGCGCGCCCATCGATTCGGTGGGTTAGGCCTTCTTGGGGAGGGAAAGGCCTGGTGCCTTCGACGCCAGGCCTCCCACGTCTGCGAACAGACGCGGCCGCGCTGCTCGCCAGCCGCAGGTGGCCGGCGGCCGGCCTGTCCGCCAGACCGGCGGCGCCGGCGCTCGGTTCCCCACGCCGTTGACCCCCGGCGGCGCTCAGCGGTCCAGCTTGACCAGCAGGCCCTCGCCGGCCTCCAGGCGCAGCTCCTTGAAGCGGATGAAGCCCTGCTTGTCGCCGGTGGAGCTGGCCATGACGAGGCCGCGGAAGAAGATGTGGCTGAGGTCCCGTGTCACCGGCCGCTCGGCCGTGTTGAAGATGGCGCACCAGCGCGGCTGGCGCGGGTAGAACCGGTCCAGCACGATCACCGCCTCGTCCACGTAGCGCACCTGGCGGACAGCGCCGCAAGCTCAGCCCCGTTGGACAGCCAGGCCACCCCGTAAACGATCTCCATTTAAACCCCAGACAGCCAGGTGATCAGTATCAATGACGGCAGCACGGCGTAGAAAACTACAGAATGAAACCAACCAACGACGATACCGCAGTGACGGTCAATGACTACGCGAAGCTTAGAGACGTCAACACGCGCCGTAGTGATGCGGGACTGGTTACTAACACGGGCGCGACGGCCAGCTGGGCTAGGAAGCCGCGCCATTACACGGCCTCCTCGGTGCGCCCATCCCCCTGTGGGGAACTCACCTTGAGGTTGGACGAGCGGCGTGGGTTGAAGTCTCCGATCGAGTTGAATATGCCGTTGACGTAGACGGGCACGGCCGAGCGGTGCACGCCCAGGGCCAGCCGGACCGACTGCACGGTGATGTTCTGCTGGCTGGCGGCGTTGAAGAGGGCGTGGTCTGCCGGCAGCGGTCGCCACGGCAGCCGCCAGCTCAGCGAGAAGTCGGCCGACGTGACGTCATCCGACCAGGGCATGATGCCCAGGCCGGGCAGCGTCTGCCGAAGGAGGGGCGCCAACATCAAGCCAGGGCTGGGCCATGATGACGTCATCCGACCAGGCCATGACGTCATCCGACCAGGGCATGATGTCCAGCCCGGGCAGCGTCTGCCGAAGGACGGTCAACAACACCAAGCCAACGCTAGCCATTTCCAGCTGACGACTGCAGCAGATGCAAGGTTCCAAAATATGTCTAGGTATAAGCACCATCCCACTGTGCGTCTCGGCCTCTCACATTGTTCTGTTAATCGCCCTCCCCTTGCTCTCCCGCACCTGTATCTCTTCTTGCTTTGCGGATTGCCCTCTGGCCCAGCCTGGTTCTCTCGCGGCTCGACGGCTCGCCTGGTTCTCCTGCAGCTCGATCCTTCTCCTGGTTCTCCCGCGGCTCGATCCCTCACCTGGTTCTGCTGCGGCTCGATCCCTCACCTGGTTCTGCTGCGGCTCAATCCCTCACCTGGTTCTCTTGCAGTTCGATCCCTCACCTGGTTTTCCTGCAGCTCGACCCCTCACCTGATTCTGCCGCAGCTCGATCCCTCACATGGTTCTCCTGCCGCTCGATCCTGGTTCTCCTGCGGCTCGATACCTCACCTGGTCCTCCTGCGGCTCGATACCTCACCTGGTTCTCCTGCGGCTCGATCCCTCGCTTGATTCTCCTGCGGCTCGATCCCTCACCTGGTTCTCCTGCGGCTCGATACCTCACCTGGTCCTCCTGCGGCTCGATACCTCACCTGGTCCTCCTGCGGCTCGATACCTCACCTGGTTCTCCTGCGGCTCGATCCCTCACCTGGTTCTCCTGCGGCTCGATCCCTCACCTGGTTCTCCTGCGGCTCGATCCCTCACCTGGTTCTCCTGCGGCTCGATACCTCACCTGGTCCTCCTGCGGCTCGATACCTCACCTGGTCCTCCTGCGGCTCGATACCTCACCTGGTTCTCCTGCGGCTCGATCCCTCACTGGTTCTCCTGCGGCTCGATCCCTCACCTGGTTCTCCTGCGGCTCGATCCCTCACCTGTCCTCCTGCGGCTCGATCTCCTCCACCTGGCCTCCTGCGGCTCGATCCCTCACCTGGTCCTCCTGCGGCTCGATCCCTCACCTGGTTCTCCTGCGGCTCGATCCCTCACCTGGTCCTCCTGCGGCTCGATCCCTCACCTGGTTCTCCTGCGGCTCGATCCCTCACCTGGTTCTGCCGCGGCTCGATCCCTCACCTGGTTCTCCTGCGGCTCGGCCTCCATCAGGCAGACCTCGTCGCCGTACAGCAACGTGACCGTGCCGGGCAGCAGGCTCTGCAGCACGGTGGCGCCCACCGTGTGGTTGCGGCCCAGCCGGCGCGAGAGGCGAGTCATGTCCGCGGACGCCAGCCGCCAGTTGAACCAGGGCGTGTCCGACGACTCGTCCCACGACATGATCTGACGGCGCGCAGGGCAGGTCACGGCTGGCGGCGCGGGGCGTGCGGCATACGGCAACGGTGCAACGGAGTATTCTCTTTGCCGGCATCATGTCACAAGGATGATGTCATCGCAGATTTGAGCATTCATTTACATAAATGTTCGCATTCTAAACGCCGAGTGTTCGTTTCAGCAGAGTGCTGATAGCAGTACATGAAGATCTGGCAGCACCCCAAGCGGAGCCGCGGACTCTGACTGGCTCCGCCCACGCGGCAGCCGGCTGGGACGGCTGACCGGCGTCTGGCGTGAGGTGCCGCCCCGACCGGCCCAAGCGGTCAGACCATGTCACTGACGGATCACGTCACGGTCGCACGTGTCATGTGACACACCGTGCCAGGTCACCGCGTGGCGTGGTTGTCCAGCTGGTCATTGCTCTAGGCACAAGATGTGCACATAAGACATCCCGAGTATGTACACAGGTCTTATGTATACAGGTATACATAAGACATCCCGAGTATGTGCACAGGTATTATGTATACAGGTGTACATAAGACATCCCGAGTATGTGCACAGGTTTTATGTACACAACTGTACATAAGACATCCCGATTATGTACACAGGTCTTATGTATACAGGTGTACATAAGCCATCCCGAGTATGTGCACAGGTCATATGCACACAGATGTACATAAGACATCCCGAGTATGTGCACAGGTATTTGTACATGGGTGTACATGAGAGATGCCGAGTATATGCACAGGTCTTATGTACACGGGTGTACATAAGACATCACGAGTATGTACACAGGTCTTTTGTACACAGGTGTACATGAGACATCCCGAGTCGCGGTGTCAAAACAGAGCGCGGACTTTCTCCCGCAGCCCACTTCGGCGAAATCCATATTACTATTACCGGCACCACGATATATTATAGTCATTTGGGCAGCGGCTTACCTCGCTGATTTGGTCGGCGATCTCCTGCGGACTCTGGTCCTGGATGTGCAGCTGGCAGTCCAGCAGGTCGATCCGGTGGAGCACCTTGGTGGCGTTATGTCGGTCGTGGTCCTTCAGCGCCTTCAGCAGCTCGATTGGCACGATCAGGATGCGGTCCTCCATGCCGACCGTGTAGCGATCCAGCAGATTGCGGACATCCTGCGCCAGCGCCTCCACGTCCACGCTGTTCACCACCGTCTCCAGGTCAGCAGTATGAAGCCGTCCACGCCATGCTGCAGCCAGTGCTCCAGCACGTGCACAAGCTCCGGGTAGGTGGCCTTCTCCTGCGACTGGGTCAGGTTGGTCGGCACCATCGTCATGTCAGCGCCAGGCGAGTTGTCGAGTAGCGGCACGGGGTCAAGCGCCACCACCACGTGCAGGGTCCATGGCGTGAGCGTCCGAAACGAGGTTCAGGAAGTCGCCAGCAGTGCCCAACTTCGGGTCAACCCTGGTGAAGCTGGACACCTTGCCGACGTCCTCCGGAAAGCCCGGCGTCTCGAACATGGACGTCAGCACGATCGTGTTGACCCTCCGGTTCTTGACGTAGTTAAAGCCGGCTCTGGATGCCGCGGAGGTCGCCGACGCCGTCGCCGTCCGAGTCCTGGAACGGAGCCTGGGAAGATCTCCGTACATGGCCTCGCCCTGGTACCACTTGCGGAACGGGTCGCACTTGCGCGGCATGGCCACGATCCAGCCGATGCAGACCGCCAGCACGCCGAGCCAGACGGCCGCGTTGACGCCCAGGCAGAGGTTGCGGATGAAGCGGCCAGTTCCAAGACGGGCAGCAATCCTCCGCTTCCTTCTGCATCTCCTCGTAGCTCGGCCTCCGCACAATGACATCGTCCACGCCCTGCGGATGAAGCAGGGTGTCAGCGTCACCCGTGGCTTCGCCGGCCGCCGGCCAGGTGGGTGAGTATCGGATTCGATTCGACTCGTTCCATCACACGGTCACGCAGGCGCGTCGGTGAGCAAGTGAGCTGCTCTGCAATATATCTGTTTCATGAAATGAGCTGCAGCGGTCGTCAAGTTAATTAGCATTGGGTGCCGTCATGAGCTATGACACTTGTCATCGATGTCCATGTTACGCCCTAATGGAATGAAACGGAACATTAGTGCTGTTCAATATTTGAGCTATTCATTAACATAAGGCGTACATAAGATAACTTGATTCAAACATTTCCGATGAATCAAGCTTTCATCTGAGTTGCGTAAAAACATATGCATAAAATTACGCACCGTATCAAGAACAAAAGATGTGCTCCGCACAGCAATTTCGCAAGCTCGCACCAAACAATCCTGAGAACCTTGTCCGTATGGCGTCGTACATGCGAGGCACCACCAGTCCCTAAGGGCCGTCCATAAAATACGTCACGCGTGGAGGGTTGATTGAGGATTTCTGGCGCGTAACCTAGCGCAACAGGGGAGGAGGGTAATATTTCAGACAGCCTCATGTTACGCGACGTGTTACACTCAAGCGTGTTGCATTTCATGCTGATTTTTAAAAAGTACCCAACAACCTTTTTAAGTAGCCAACAGTCTTACCGATCGGCCTCGCCCCAGAGTTCGTCCCATTTCTACCTGTAACCACACCACCTGCAAGCAGGGCGGAAGGGGTCTTGCCCAGCGTAAGCAAAGCGTAACCAGCGGTAGAGTGTGTCGGAGAGTGTTCAGAAATGTGTTACTAATTGTTTTATGCATTTAAATGGTTTTGTTAGTTATTGTTCACGCATATTTAAATTGTAGTTGAGCCCGTTATCCCCATTTCATTCCCATATTGCCTTAATATATCCAACATCCAGTTATGCTTCCGCATGTGCCCCAGGGGCCATCAAAAAATTACGGCGCAATTTTGGCCACCTATCGTCGCCCAGATAACCCACTGGTGCGCCGAGCGAGACCCGTTATCTCCATCGTTCACCCTGTAAAAATCTTCATGAAAAGCACAAATCGGCATTATTCCCAGCCGCATCTCAGCGTGACATTTCGCTGCCTAAAACTCATCTTCTCACAGTAACGCTTCGTTTATATGCTTTATGAAAGCCACCCCCTGCCCTCCATAAGAAGCGTATTTTTGGACGGCTCCTTACGATAGATGTCGGAACAGCCACTGGCTGAGGGAATGCATTGGCCAACATAACACATGATGCTTTGAATCGAACAACTTCTTTTTGGCTGCTTAGTCGTAATACGGTTGATAAACAGCGAACCGCGCTGGGAAGTAGGACGGTTCATTCTTACGAGCAAACGATGTCCTTCAGTGCCTTAAAAAAGACCTTTTACAGTTACACCTTGCGCTTTTTTGTATACAAATTTCATTTTACATTGATATTTTCATTTCACGTTGATATTTTCATTTTACACCGACAGTTTACATTTAATTGTATGTCCTACACTCAAGCATTAAGAGAGAAACTGGAAAAATAAATCGTTGCATGCAAGGTCCGTGTTCGCACTATTATCTCCCAACCACTCGGTGACCTATCACTTCTGTCTCTAGCAGCTCTATGGCGGCTGGGCGGGCCCAGCCCGGCCAGTGGTGGGTTCGCGGCGGTGCACGAGCGGCGCGTGGGAACACACCTGGATGCTGCCCGGGTGCAGCAGCGCCTGCTGGACCCGGCGCCTCCGCCTGCGGGGTGTCCAGAAGGTGCAGGTTTCTCCTCGCCCTCGCCCTCCGACGACGTCTCCTTGCTGATGGCAGACACCGGCCGCTCGTCCGCTGAAATCAGGGGAAGCAGCTGACTGCAGCGCCGAGTGACACCCGACACCGAGTGACAATCGACACCGAGCGACACCCGACACCGAGTGACGACCTACACCGAGCAACACCCGACACCCGAGTGACGACCGACACCGATGCGACACCCGACACCGAGTGACGACCGACACCGAGCGACACCCGACACCGAGCGACGACCGACACCGAGCGACACCCGACACCGAGCGACGACCGACACCGAGCGACACCGACACCGAGCGACGACCGACACCGAGCGACACCCGACACCGAGCGACGACCGACACGAGCGACACCCGACACCGAGTGACGACCTACACCGAACGACACCCCAGCACCGAGTGACGACCGACACCGAGTGACCACCGGCACCGAGTGACGACCGACACCGAGCGACCACCAGACGCCGAGTGACGACCTACCACCGAAAGACACCCGTCACCGAGCGACAAACCGACGCCGAGCAACACCCGACATCGAGTGACGACCGACACTGAGCGACACCCGTCACCGAGTGGCGACCGACACCGAACGACACTCGACACCGAGTGGCGACCGACAACCGAGCGACACCAGACACCTAGGGACAAATCGACAGCGAGCGGCACGCGATAGCGGGTGTAACCCGACACGGAGCGACAGCGGACACCGAGTGACACCGACACCAAATGGCACGGACACACCCGGACACCGAGTAACAATCGATACGAGGGACACCTGCGGCACCTGACGCCGAGCGACACCGACACCGAGCGAGACCGACACCGAGTGCTACAAGACACCGAGCGGCACCCGACTTTGAGTGACACTGACACCAAGCGACATCTAACAGTAAAACACACATGTAGCATCGAGGTAGATAGCATAGTTTCACCTTGACATCGAGGAAGTCTTGGCAAAGAGCTGCGCCTGGCAGCGAGAGACCCATGACACTGAGAGACGCCAGGCATCGATGGACGACAGATACGGAGGACCGTACTCCACCATGCTGAATCTGGCACCGAGCGACACCTGACACCTAAAGACGATAGATACAGAGGAGCGTCCTCCACTGGGCAGACACCGAGCGACACCTGACACCGAGCGACACGGGCACCGAGTGACAAGGATGCCGAGCGACACGGACACCGAACGACACCTGACACCGAGGAGCATTGATGAACACCGAGGACTGAGGGTTCCTCACGCATGACAGGGACTGACACCAGACTTACTTGACACCGGGGCATCACGAAACGACGGGAGCCTGGGCACGAGACATGCCAGATACCGAGCGACAACTGGAACCAGACAGGTACCTCGACCCCGAAAGCTAGCAGGAGGACACGTGTCATTCCGGAGACCGAGAAACCACGGGCGGAAAATGTTGTTGAATGTCAAAAGACGTCTTGTATCGGTGTGTAGTGCGACGACACGACCGTCAACCGTGTTCTCCGTGTGTGCAACAAACTTTCAAGTATAACAACCTAGGAGCAGCATGCAACGACTCAAAAACTAGCAAACTTCGCGGAAAAACTTCTGCTTCATGGACAAGGGAGTCATTTTTGTTTTCATTTCATGGACGTCTTGTGCTTTTGGTTAACGAAAGAAACTATTTTGACGCCATATGAGCGCGCGATCCAATACCATATCAAACAAAAGTGTAGCACACAAACACCTTTTACTTTTAAGTTAGTGCATGCTAAAAAATTGACGTGAAGACTCGTACATTTAGTCCCACGAGAAATCAAATCTTCTGCGCACCGAACAGAGTAACATTGACCTAGACGTATCTGGAATTTACGCGATCTGTTCCTGATTTATTAGTTCTCCAGCTTCTGCTGCGTCATTGAGGGTGACGTAAGGCGGCGAGGTCAGGCATCACATATGGTTGAGGCCTTCTCAAAACCAGACGGGCCACTTCGACAACGGCTCCGACTGTAAATATCCAGTTCATTCTGGCTACTGCCTGCTCGTACATTCGATCTGCATAGCATCTCCTGTGTATCCGGTTTCTGGCCACGAGACACTGGCCCCGATAGGTGTCGTCAGCGTCGGCTGCTGAGGGGCCCACTAGCCGGAAGATATGCGACGTTCGGACCGGTTCTGCTGCAATACGCAGGTCATAGTCCGGTCAAGCACCAATCTGAAACCCAACTACGCGCAGGAATCTCTTTTCCCTGCATTTTGTCACGGCTGGTGACACGTGCGCTAAAGCGTCTGCCTTCTAGACCCCGGCGCTGCTTATCATAGTTGTTTTCGGAAACGTCGCAACCCATCAGAATTGTGAAACCACGCACAAACTCCATTTCAATTCACATTTCGGCAATGAGGTGCAACTAACCATCCCATCCCGGATAGGGGGAGCAAAAGTCTCAGGTGGCACATAATTTGCAGCACGATCAAACGTGCGTCTAATTACCCATCCATTCAGTTGAACGGTAGCGATCGAAATGTTTACTGATGGTGATAAGTGGCTCGACTCATTCGACGCATTCTGGACTATTACCCGCTATGACGGGTGACGACCGGGAACTGCGGGCAGGGGTGGCGCCTCGGGTTTTGAGGGGGAGGCAATATTTCAAAAGGGGAGCCTCATAAGCACCACGGGGAGGCTTCCTGGGCAGTGTGCTATCCTCCAAAAGGGGAAGGGTGCCGAGAGCATGTGCTCCTTTATCAAACTCCTACATGCACCATGCCCAGGTAAACAAATGCTGGCATTAAGACAAAAGCCGAATGGGGCCTCCGAATTATCCAGCAAAGAGTTTCAGTAATTTTAAAACAGGGTCACCTGATGCATAGCGCCTAATCCAGAACGGGATGCTTATGATTAACGATTGGGCCTCCTTATTGCAAAATATTACGCCCCAATTCAGAACGCGGCCATCTGTTGCATGAAAGCGGCTTCCTGTTCCAGAACTGGGACCTATTGAATATAGAGGATGCCTCCTAATCTAGAACAGGGTCT